GCCCATTTTGTCAGGTTGTGGCAGATTACAGGCCTTCCAAGGTGCCCCCAAACCCCCATAGGGCCATGGGCCCCCGTCCCCGCCTGGTCACGCGCTGCTGGGCCCCGTGTGACCTGGGCCCCCTGTACCGCCTCCCTTTGCTCCCTGGCCAAAGGAGTGAAGTGTGCAGTGATTCTAAGATCGACGGCACTCATCTGCATGTCATACTGACAGACAGTATTATTTCTCTTCCCCAGCAGACTCCCAAGGGCATTTAAATTAAAGGTACAAGTGTTCTGCACTAATATTAAGTCTCTCTGAAGCCTAGAAACACCCTTTTTAAGTTAAATTCACAGCGAAGATTTATTCGACTCGAATCAAATATTGTCCACGTATTCGCCGAATCAGTCGAATCGAATTTTTCATTTCTTCGCTCATCTCTAATTATGGCTTACAGCTCATGAAAACCCCCAAATCCACAATCTCAGAAAATTAGAATATTGTGGAAAAAGTGCAATATTCTAGGCTCAAAGTGTCCCACTCTAATCAGCTAATTAAGCCATAACACCTGCAAAGGGTTCCTGAGCCTTTAAATGGTCTCTCAGTCTGGTTCAATAGGAATCACAATCATGGGAAAGACTGCTGACAACTGACAGTTTGTGCAGAAAACCATCATTGACACCCTCCATAAGGAGGGAAAGCCTCAAAAGGTAATTGCAAAAGAAGTTGTATGTTCCCAAAGTGCTGTATCAAAAACACATTAATAGAAAGTTATGTGGAACGGAAAAGTGTGGAAGAAAAAGGTGCACAAGCAGCAGGGATGACCGCAGCCTGGAGAGGATTGTCAGGAAAAGGTCATTCAAAAATGTTGGGGACTTTCACAAGGAGTGGACTGAGGCTGGAGTCAGTGCATCAAGAGCCACCACACACAGACGGATCCTGGACATGGGCTTCAAATGTCGTATTCCACTTGTCAAGCCCCTCCTGAACAACAAACAATGTCAGAAGTGTCTTAGCTGGGCTAAAGAAAAACAGACCTGGTCTGTTGCTCAGGTCCAAAGTCCTCTTTTCTGATGAGAGTAACTTTTGCACATCTCATTTGGAAACAAGGACCCAGAGTATGGAGGAAGAATAGAGAGGCACACACTGCAAGATGCTTGAAGTCCAGCGTGAAGTTTCCACAGTCAGTGTTGATTTGGGGAGCCATGTCATCTGCTGGTGTTTGGTCCACTGTGCTTCATTAAGTCCAGGGTCAACCAGCCGTCTACCAGGAGATTTTGGAGCACTTCATGCTTCCTTCCGCAGACGAGCTTTATAGGGATCCTGACTTCATTTTCCAGCAGGACTTGGCACCTGCCCACACTTCCAAAAGCACCAAAACCTGGTTCAATGACCGTGGGATTACTGTGCTTGATTGGCCAGCAAACTCACATGACCTGAACCCCATAGATAATCTATGGGGCCATTGCCAAGAGAAAGATGAGAGACATGAGACCGAACAATGCAGAAGAGCTGCAGGCCACTATTGAAGCATCCTGGTCTTCCATAACACCTCAGCAGTGCCACAGGCTGATAGCTTCCATGCCCACACCGCATTGAGGCAGTAATTGCTGCTTTTTCGAGTTTCACCTGTATATATCGGTTTTGTTATTTTTGATATAACTAGCTATGAATAAGTTCTGTCTTTAGACTGATACGCGTTAGCGTAAATTTGCCATGGACTATTTTTACTCCTTTATGCAATAAAGAGGATTTTTGTATTTACCTGTTGCCGACATTTTTGGAATTGGACTTTTACTGATAAGCAGATGGAGACTGCTAGTCGGGCATGGTGAGCTTACAGTATATGCTTTAAGCCTAATACATTTGACAGGTAATAGCAACCCACTTCTGCTTGGATTTGCAAGTATCCAGAGATGTTTACCCAAGACAAATAAGAGTGGCTAGAATTATTGAGGTTATTATGGATGCCCAAGGCATGAGAGAGACCTAGCCACCATGGTGGCTAGAGATGAGAATGGAGATACTCCTCCAGGGTCCAGTTTATTCTCTCTATTATTATTATTATACAGTATTTATATAGCGCCAAAGGGTATGCTCAGCGCTGTACAGTAGCAAAGGGGACAGAAGATGAGACAAGACAGTAACAAAACAGTACACGAGGGGTTCGAGGGCCCTGCTCTTTCGAGCTTACAATCTAGGAGGAAGGGGAAGGTGATACAGGAGGAGATGGCTGTGGGGGATGGAGTGGTGGGAGGAGTGGATTAGGTTGTTAGGTGAGGTCAGGTGTTAGGTGAGGTTGGGGTAGGCTTCCCTGAAGAGGAGGGTTTTCAGGGTGCGCCGTGAAGGTAAGGAGGGTGGGTGACAGTGTGATGGATTGGGGTAGGGAGTTCCAGAGGATGGGGGAAGTCCTAGAGAAGTCCTGCAATCGGGCGTGGGAGGAAGAGACCAGGGAGCTAGAGAGTAGGAGGTCCTGTGAGGAGCGGAGGGCACGGGTAGGGTAGTATTGGGAATCAGGTCAGTTATGTAGTTTGGGGCGGCATTGTAGATGGCTTTGTAGGTCAGAGTTAGCAGTTTGAATTTGATGCGTTGGGCAATCGGGAGCCAGTGAAGGGATTGGCAGAGGGGGGAGGCAGATGTGGAGCGGTTGGTGTGGTGTTTTTGTTTGAGGGTGGAGATATTGTAAGTTATTGTGAGCTGTAAATATGGACAGACTGTGTGAAAATCCCTCAAGAAGATACCGAAAAGTATCTTGTTGGCTTCCAATTTTCTGAACAAGAGGTTCAGAATGTTAGCAGAAGGCAGAGGCACCTGGGAAGGGTCCATGCTTGGACAGCATACTGTCACAATCTGAGATGAGAACCCAGCTCTTATGTATGGCTGCCAGGTCATCCAACAGATACTTGCAGATGCAAAGGAGGGAAGGTGCTGAGGAGGGAATATGAATGTAAGAAAGGCACTGGGTAGCAGGAAGCAGGAACGAGGCTAGAGGTTGCGGGTACAGAGGAGACACAGTGGAGGTTCATACTCTGGAGGCTGCAGGTACAGAGATGGTGCAATTTTGATTCAGTGGAAGCAGTGGAGGCTGCAGAGGTGCAGTAATGACTGGGAATGCAGCTGAGGTTTAGTGAATGTTGCAGGTGCAGTGTGTATGCAGCAGAGACTGTGGATGCAGCAGGGAAGCAATGGAGGCTGGGTGTGTGTCAGAGATACAGTGGATACTGTGGATGTGCCACAGAGTGCCACAGTGTAGGTGGTAAAAGCAACTGAGGGGCAGTGGAAGCTTAAGGTGCAATAAAGGCTGTGGGCAGTGGAGATGCAAATGTGGTTGTGGGTAGTGTTAGACAGAAAGTATAGCTTCAGAAGCCCAGGGTAGCTCAATAGTTCAGGGTGGCTAAATATACTGTAACTTTAGTAGCTCATGCTAGCAAAGTATAGTTTCAGTAGGTCTGGGTAGCATCCAACACAATGCTTGAGCTTAGATTTAAATGACATCTCTAGCATACCTTTACATCACATGATACATCACGTGACATGGCCACAACAGTCCGGGTCCTGGAAGTGCCCATGGCTGTTAAGATGGGAGGAAGCGCTTGAATTGGATCACAAGAGGTGATGATGGCATTTAGACTTTCCAGTCCAGTGACTCATAGTATAGAGCTGAGAGATAGCCAGCATCTTTTTTTTTTAAGGAATTCAGCAATAGCTGCCTTAGCTGCCTACATATTTTTCTCAGTACAGATTTTCTGTAACATATTTTAAATGTTAAGAAAATTAATGCATATAAATAAAAAAGAAAGGCACCAATGAGTGGTAAAGATGAAAAAAGATGAATGGGAAATGTAATTAAGTTACAGGGAACACATTTTTCTTTCTCGAACAAAATGGGGCATCTTACTTTCATAAAAGCTACTCTCATATATACCACATGTCTAAAATAAAACTGTTTGCCATTCTTTTCTATAATATATTTCTGTTTGTGTTGTATAAGGTTATTAATGACAAACAAAGCTGATTTATTATGTTATCTGCTACGCTGGCTGGTTCTCCTTTAATCTTAGTTTATTTTTACAAACCTAACACTAGCCAAAGGAAATTTCTTTATGAATTTCCACACAAATAAGAGGGACAATCAACATGCCAGTAATTTGTCTGGGCAATTTTAACACCCTCCCCTACACAGCTCTTCTACACTCTTCTCTATCTTCATCAAAACAATTTTGGCATACCAACAAAAATGATTAAACCGTTTCAGATTTTGGGCTCAAGAAAACCTTACATATAGGGAATGCACATTTTTTTGCTAATCATCATAAGAGATTTATTATCTAGAGATCTAAAATTGTTGACACCTTAGTTATTTTTTTACCAAGTATCAATTTACAATCTTCAGTCATTCTGCCATGTTCATAGTCTGATTATGTTATGGTACAATTTCTATGCTGTTTTTAACAGGTGTTCAGTCATTCACCTAGAGCAGGGGTATTTAATTAAAAATTCAAGAAAGTCTGGTCACTAAAATTTTTTTCTGGCCGAGGTTCGAATAAGGTGTGCCCTTCAGTGTGCCCCCTTACATTAGGTGTTGCCATCAAAGTGCAACTTTACATCATGTATTCCTATCATATCAGGTGTCCCCATCAGAGTACTCCTTTACATCAGTTTTCCCCATCAGAGTACCACTTTACATCAGGTATTTCCATCACAGTGGCACCTTGCATCAGGTATTCTCATCAGAGTGCCCTCTTACACTCAAAGTACCCCTTTCTATCTTATTTCCCCATCAGAGTGCCCCTTTACATCACATTGCCCATCAGAGTGCCCCTTTCCATCACGTGCCCATCAGAGTGCCCCTTTCCACAGTATATGCCCATTTGTGCCCCCTTAACATAAAATGGGCCCATCATGGTGCCCCTTAACATAAAATGTACCCATCAGAGTGCCCCTTAACATAAAATTTGCTCATCAGAGTGACCCTTAACATAAACGGTGCTCATCAGAGTGTCCTAAACATAAAATGTACTCCTCAGAGTGCCCCTAAACATAAAATGTACTCGTCAGAGTGCCCCTTAACATAAAATGTACCCGTCAGAGTGCCCCTTAACATAAAATGTACCCGTCAGAGTGTCCCTTAACATAAAATAAGGGGCATGGTGATGAGCACATTTTATGTTAAGGGGCACTCTGATGGATACATTTTATGTTAAGGGGCACTCTGATGGGCACATTCTATGTTGTGCCCATCAGAGTGCACCTTAACATTAAATGTGCCCATCAGAGTGCCCCTTAACATAAAATAAGGGGCATGATGATGGGCACATTTTATGTTAAGGGGCATGCTGATGGACACATATTATGTTAAGGGGCACTCTGATGGCACATTCTATGTTGCGTCCATCAGAAAGCCCCATAACTTTCAACATTCATAGGTGGACATGCCCTTTCTGAGGACAAAATGCAGTGCAAATTTTGCCTAGGTTTTAAACACTTCAGCTTCGGAAGATTTTACCCCTTTCATGAGCAGGCCATTTTTTCTATTTGGCACTACGCTACTTTAACTGGCAATTTCGTGGTCATGCAACACTGTATGCAAATGAAAATTATGTCATTGTTTGCACAAAAATAGAGCTTTCTTTTGGTGGTATTTGATCACCACTGAGTTTTTTAATTTATTATATAAATGAAAAAAACACTAAAAATTTAAAAAAATCTATATTTTCTATTTTCTGTTATAACACATATCCAATAATAAAATCAAAACATTGAATTGCTTCATAAATATAGGCCAAAATGTATTCTGCTACATGTCTCTGGTAAAAAAAAGAATCCCAATAAGTGTATATTATATATTATTTAGTCTGTAAGAAAAGTTATAGTGTCCACATCTATGGGATATATATATTTTTTGCATACCATCACTAGCGCAGTACAGCATATTGATATGGCTGGTGTGGCAGTGATCATTGACACTGACTGGTGACAGCATGTTGAAAAAAAATCAATATTTTAAAAAAAAATTTTAAATTGTAACATTATTTTGTATTTTTTTTTACTTTTTTTTTTTAATACTCTCATCAGAGTAGTTCAGTGTTACCATAGTAACATTGTACTACTCTGGTGGGGTGATCAGGGATTTATTTATTTTTCTAACACTTTGATTGTTGGTACAATGAAGATGATTGTAGCGGCAATGCTTTGAACTGTCATGAATGGGTTCATGACAGCTGTGAATACTAGTGATCTGTGATTTGCAGCAGCTGACTACATAGTACAGAGCGCTGTGATGGGCCCATGTACCATGTGATAGCTGTGGGCCAATCACAGCTCACTAGTAAAGGAAGCAAACCTGTTATGAATCATATTGATTCATAACAGCTTTGTTGACATTGTGATAATGTGATTGCATAGTAATCACATGATTACCGTGTCCCAAGTACCGGGATTTGTATTCCGTGGTGTCCAGTGTCCATACAGGCAAAATGATGCATGGGCACCTCACTTTGCCTGTACATGTTGCCCACCTGCAGTAAATAGTAAATGCAGAACCTCCCACTTTGCATAAATGTCTACTTGGCATTGTAAGGACTGAATCAATTTCTTTAGAACTGAGCAATCAGCACTAACATTTGTAAACATTTTTGCAATGCATATCATTCCCCTGGGTATTTTTTGTAAAGACAGAAATTCGCTTTATTTAGTCTTTTCAATGAACTACCAAAAATGTATGTTTTTCTGAGGAACTAGACAAATATTCATATGATATTATACTGCTTTGGCTGCTTTGCTGTTTGATGATGAGACAAAATGTGTGTGCTGGTTGAGATCCAAGTTTTATTTCTCTTCAAACAAATCTGGCACTATGTTTGCCAGGAAATTATTCATCTTCCTCAGAGATCAATTATTTTATCAAATGCATACTGGAATTGTGATCCATTGGCTAGTCTAAAGGCAACCATTAAAGCAGCCCATAGATGAGTCATTTTTGTTTTGTTCAATCAGTGGGTTAAAAGAAAAAAAAATAGACTCCGTTTCCCCATCCACACACCATCGAGAGTGTGGATGCGGGAATCTCATTGTATTTTAACAGTGGGGAGACTATACCCTGTGGTGCTGATTGAGCTGAGAAGACCTGAAAAGGCAGTTGTGCAGAAGCCAATCTGTAGATAGACTTCTGTACAACCAAAGTGCCCATACATAAGTCAAAATTTGACTGGTCCCTGCTCAACCGGCTGAATTTTGATCCATGCATTCATGGCCATGTCCATGCACATGAGTGGTTGAGCCCACTTAAAGTAAATGTTGTCTTTCCCTCCGAGGCAGCCCGGGTGCAGCGTATAGCCTTCAATAGACATGAATGGCTATGCACTGCTATACTCGGGTTGTGGCAGCACTACTCTAAGTATGAGTATAGTGTACAGGTGTATGCAAAAAATTGAAAACTTTCTCTCAGCATTGCTTCCCTGAATGTCTGTGGCTCCATAGGGTTCTGCAAGGGAAATGATGATTCCTTGTGATAAGGAAGATTAAATTGATCAAGAAGAAGCATGCCTTGTAAGTCTTTACAGCAGCAGTTAAAAATAGGGGCACTTGGCGGGGGGGGGGGGGGGGGGGGGGGACCAGGAGTGCCTGCGAGAGTCCTGAAAAGAGGAGGATGGAGGATTATCTGTGCAAGACCATTGCACAGAGCAGGTAAGTATGACATTTTTTTTTTTTTTTCTATAAGTTTTTGGAAATGGGGAAAGAAAATGAAAGTTTTTTTTTTTTACACAAAGTTGTCAATGTATTAAGATATTTTTTACGCACAGCATAAGCATACCTGGAATTACAACCCAAAGCACATTCTGCTACTTTTCCTGAGTATGGTGATACCACATGTGAGACTTTTTCACTGTTTGGACTGATTAAGTACAGGACATTGTATCTTATGTACAATGCTGTATCACAAAAATCAACCAATTATATCAAAACCAATGTACTGTAATATTCACCTTTGTATGAGTGGTCAGGGAATATAGCTTAGTGTTGCATCACCTATAGTAGTCCCTGCTCCTATAAGCCGAGCAAGCCTAGCCTACTGGTATGTGTCTGTGCCCAGAAATGTCATGCTCACTGGCAGGGAAGCACAGGAGGCTGAAGAATGGAAGAACAATAGAGTTTCTGTGGTTCCAGGAGTGCAGCTGGGCTGGGATGGCTGGGAATGGTCTCTCAGGAACGCTGTCAGTTAGATATGCAGATGGATCTGTTCAGGCAGCAGACAGACTCATGGCCAGAAAACAGGCAAGGATCAGTCCAGGCAGCAAGCAGAAACATGGTCAATAAACAGGCCAGGATCAGTATAGGTGCGGACTGCACTAGTGTGGCAGTTATTAGGAACACGTTGTTGGCTGCACTGGTCTGGTGACACTGGGACTTGAGTATCAGTGATCAGGGACACTGTTGCTCGCTTACACTGGTCTGGTGACTCTGCAACTGGTGTGGCGGTGATAAGGAGCACTGTTGCTAGCATATAATGGTTTGGTGACACTGGGACTGGTGTGGCAGTGATTAGGAAAACTGTTGATAGCTGCACTGGTCTGGTTTGGTGGCCCTCAGAAACACTGATTCTAGCTACACTGATCTGGCAACAATGTAACTGGTGTAGTGGCAATTGTAGACACTGTTGCTGGCTGCAATATTAGGGTACATTCACACATGAGGTTGGGGGTGGTAAAACCTCATGGCTGAGTGGCAACTTTACCACCCTCAGCCGCTACTGTCATTACCTGCAGAGGCAGTGGCTAGGGGTGTTCACATGCCAAAGCTGAAATGCTTTTCTTTGCAGTTGTGTCAGGAAAGATACCCTGTTCTCCCATCAATTGGGACCCATTCAAGTGAATGGGGGTGCTTGTGCAGGGTCCAAAGTGTTAAAACAGGAGGTGAGGAGATGATACAATGCCTCCTCACCACTTGTCAAATGCTCTGAAGAACAATATAAATACAGGTTGCATTACAGAGAACACCACACATGTGAATGAGTTCTTATGGTGACAGTGTGGCTGATGTGGTGATCATGAGGGACACTGGGACTACTGTGGTGGTGATTAGGGAAGCTTTTACTGGTGTGGCAGTGATCAGGGACACTGGGACTGGTGTGGTGATTAGGGATGCTGTGACTGGTGTGGCGGTGTTTAGGGATGCTGTGACTGGTGTGGCAATGATCAGGGACACTTGGACTGGTGTAGCAGTGACACAAAAATTCAATTTTTTCATACTATCACCAAAGCAGTGCAGTGTCACCATAGTTTTTTTCACGATGATTTCTTATACAGTCATGATGATTGTGTAAGCAATCACTTCTAGCACTGTTCCGCTGCGTTCATTCAGTATGTCTTTACTACTGTGATCGGGCCAAAGCAATCACAGGGTACCAGGCCAATGAACTTGATCATAGTAGAAAACATAGGCTTCATGAATGAAAGCCTATGTTTAATATTACTACTGTGATCACTGTGATTGGTCACAATGATCACAGAATACTGGGACAATTTAATTAGTCCTATACCCTGATCTGTGATCTGCTGTGTCCAAAAGAATGCACAAACAGGCAATGTGGGTGGATGTACAGGTAACTTCACCCACTTCCGCACTGCTGCCACCCAGGCAGGACAAGAAGATCATTAATTTGAAAAATCATTCTCATTCTTTATAGACTATAACTAAATGACACTTAACATTTTTAATGTAAAATACATTTGCTATCTTGTTAAATTAGAACTGTGGGCAAAAGGTTTTGTTTTTTTTTCATTTTGGAAAGAGTAGGCGAAGTTATAACCCCTGTCAGATGTTATTTCGCCATCTGTGACCCATTGTAGGGATTTATCTTCACTTCCTGTTCCATAGCAAACTAAGGCAAGGAAATTCCTTGGGGACTCCCAAGTCAACAGAACTAGTGTACCTATTGGAAGATTTCCCCTCTATTACTTTTCTGTGGACAACCTAAAATTTTAGATTTTCTTTTACTTTCACTTTCAATGATA